CAATTCTATCTGCAAGCTGTCACACGACCCGACTACACCAAAGACCAGATGCGTGACTTGCTATCAGAATTCACCACGAAGCTTGACTCTCTCAATATCGACTACAACCTCACCATCACCTCGACGCCCACCTACCTGGACCATTTCGTAACATACTTCGGCCCCGCGCCATGGGGCCCTTACGTCATCGGTGAGCTCATGACAGGCCGTCTTATTCCCCTTGAAGTTAGTCAAGCCGACCCAGCCGCGATCATCGCTGCGTATCGCGATATCACCGATACTACGCAGATCATCATCGGCTCCACCGCCCAAGACGTTTCCATCACGCCGCTTCGCAAGCCCGTTGCACCCAATTCCGTGATGCCCAGCTGGCGCACAACAGTCAATACATTGCTCATTCAGAGCTACTTCAACTCGTCGATTTCCTGGAACGAGAAGCAGCATTTGCAGGACCAGCTTGTCGGCTTTGCGCAAAAGCGCATTGATGATCTCGTGCCGGAGGATACGGGGACTCATTTGAATGAAGCAAACTTTTCGCCGCTGATTGACTGGAAGACGCAGTTTTATGGCACCAACTATCCGAGGTTGTTGGATATTAAGCGTCGGTTGGATCCGGAGAATGTCTTTTGGGCTGTCACCGCTGTCGGTTCTGATGCGTTGGAGGTGGCTGCTGATGGTCGACTCTGCGTTGCCCATTAAGGATAGATGAGTACGTCGTTTGTTCATCTTTGTGTCTGTGGTTTGCACTGTGCTGCAGTAGGCAATCTCTGACTTGAGTGGTTGTATTAGAACGGCTGTGTTAGATGTTAGAGGGGTTATATCAGAGCGGTCGCATTAGAGTGATTTTATTAGAATGCATTCGGTACGTTTGACGATGTTTATTGAAGCCATTTGCTTCAGCTAATAAGTGCCTGATTGGAGAGATTTTGATGATTTCGAGGCTGCGAGATCACGCTCTTGACTGTCCATAGCGTCCCAACGCCATGTCATATCTACAATCTTTTGAATCGTTGATCACATATACACATAGTACTCAGAACTCTCTTTCCAACTCTCAGTAATATTTTCGAGCCATCATAGGCGTCGTAGGTGTGAATCAACAGTACCAGAAACTACGTACATAGTCGTAAGTTGTTCCGGCTCAGCGTGTCTAACGTAACGTAATACAGTACTTTTAAGGCTATTATAAGGTACGTATAGCTTAATTATTAGTATTATATATATAGTTATAAATATAATATAGCTTAAACTATAGTATAGTTGCCTAAGCTACCTATATATTATATTTATACTTATTTAGGTAACTTATAGCTATAAAGTAGTAAATTAAAGCTATAGTTAACGCTATAAAAGCTCTAGAAATAGTAATCTTAACTTACATTATTACTATAATCTCTACTATTACTACTACTACTTATAGCCTTACTATTACTATTATTATTTAGTTTTAAGCTCTTAATATAGTAATCTAGCTATAAAAGCTTACTATTAATAATGTTGTTGCGTAGCTAGTTCTTCTAGAGCTATAGAGCTTTTATTATAGACGCTCTAAAGTAGTTATAATTATTAGTAATTATCTATTTAGTAGTTAAAAAGCAGCGCTTACACTTATAGCTAGTAGTAGAGATAAAAAGAATATTAGTAGCTATCTAGAATATAATTAGGTACTTATTATAGCTAACTTAAAGCTACTAGCGCTATAAGTTATAGAGAAGCTTACGTTACGCGTCTAACTATATAAGTATATTATTATAAAAGTTATTAAAGTACTCTTTAAGCTAGGTATTATACTTCTAGCGCTTACGCGTTTTATTACTAGTAAAGTAGTATATATCTACTACTATTATCTAACTATATAAGTTATTATTATTACTACTAGGTACTTTATAGCGTAGTAGTAGTAGTAGCTTTAGCTCTTTATTATCTAGCTCTACTACTAAATACTTACTATAGACCTTCTTAATAGAGGCCTTTATAGTCTTAATCTAGTTAGAATAAGACTTTTATTAAGTCTAAAACTAAGTAAGGCGTAGAGTAGAGTAGAGAGCTATTATAATATAGTAATAGCTAATATCTAGGCTAATAATAAGTTTATTAAAGTAGAAGTTAAGCTTCTACTTACTATATATAATAGTAGTAGTAAAGTACGTACTACTACTATTATTAGAGTAATTAAGATAGGCGCTCTTTATTATATAGTAATTCTATAAGGTCTATAGATTTATTAAGGTCTACTATAGTAATCTAAATCTAGAGATACTATTACTATCTTTAAAGCGCTTTATTATCTTAATAAGTAGCTATAAAAAGTTAATAAGCTACTATATAGCCTTTTACTCTTCTTTAGTAAGCGCGTTAGTAAGTAGGTTATAAACGTTATTAAGCTATTATAATAGATTCTATAACCTTATTATAAAGCGCTGTATACTATTCTAAAGCTCTAAGTAGTAGAGAAGTATATAATATACTAAGTGCTAGTAGATACCTCTATTCTAGCGTAGCTAGAGCGTGTTATAGGTATATAAAGCGTTATTATTATTAAGTAATTTCTTCTATACTAATAAGAAGAGCTTATAATACTTATAAGATATATAGACTATATTTATAAAGTTATAAAGCTTACTAATAATATCTTATAATTAAAAGAGCTTATATTATTTTATTATAGACGCTTCTATAAAGTTATTCTTAAACTAGCTAACGCCTTTACTATATAGTATTACTTTAATAATAAGATTTATAATATAGCTAGCGTAGCGTATATAATTACTAGAGAAGAGGTAGATATTAAAGTACTAGTTAAGGCTATTAATAAGCTCGCTATTATTATTAGAGGCGTTATTACTAATAAAGGCCTATAATTATAGCGTAACTTTAAACTTATTAAGAATATTAAGTATAATAGTAGCTTATATAGCGCTAGTATAATTACTATAGAAGTTATAAAATATAATTAAGACGTTGCGCTACTTATACTAAGAGTCTAAATAGTTAGCTAGTTATTATAATAAGTTATAGGTGCTAAAAATCTTACTTAAGAAATGTACTACTACTCTAAGAAAACTTAGATAATTACTTAACGTCTATATATTAATACTTATACTAAGCTAGCTACTTACTACCTATAATAGTACTTTAATCTTACTTATCTAACGCGTATAGGTTAATTATATATAGCTAGTAATTATTAACCTTACTATTAGTAGCGCCTTAAGAAGACTAGTGTAATTCTAAGTAAGTAGCTCTTATAGCTCTATTAAAGTTATAATACTAAAGCTAATATTCTATAGTATTACCTAGTTAATAAGCGTAGTCTATAGCTTCTTCTTCTTCTATAGCGTATATAATACTAACCTATTTAAACTAGTAACTTTTATAGTAGTAAATAGAGAGCTATATACTAGCTTATTAGCCTCTAGTAATAGGCCTATAGTAATATTAATATAGTGCTTCTTTACTATATATCTCTTAACGTAGTTATAGCTATTAATCTTTTTAAGAGCGTTATAGAAAAAGCTATAATAATAGAGCTTATATAGCTAGAACGTCTTCTTACTACTACTTAAGTTATTATAGCTAATCTTAACACTATATTACTATACTAAGAAGGCCTTACACTTACTAGTAAGCTAGCTCTTATATATTATAGTATAGCTAAGTCTATATAGCTCTAGACGCTTACTATTATAGTAGATATAACTAAAGTTTATAATAAAGTTATTACTATTCTTAGCTTCTTTATCTATCTCTAAAGCTTTAAAGACTTATAAAGAGATACTTAAAAGTATTAGCGTTACCTAAGATAATAAAGCTAGTAATTCTAGCAGCGTAAGAAGATAGTAAGTAGTAGTAGCGTAGTATACTATATAAGCTATAGAAGTTAAGAGAGTAGAGAGAGTATTACTAGTAAATCTTCTTATTATAGTATATTGTAATATAGTGTTGTATAAAGAATACTAATAAGATATAGCTATTATTACTACTTTTTATACTATTATCTAAATCTAGCTACTTTCTAGCTATCTACTTTAAACGTCTTACAATCTCTATATACTTCTTTAGGCTAATAATCTTATTAACTCTATTAATATATAGCTAGAAAGAGTAAGAACTTTAAATAATAGCGCTATCTCTAGACTTATAAAAGTAGTTAAAGTTCTAAGCTCTTAGAGCTCTTAAAGTTATAATATATTACTATAGTAATTAATAAAATTCTACTATAATTAACTTATAACACTATAGTAAGCTAGATATTAGTTTTATAATAGCCTTATAATCTTAGAATATATACGCTATTACTACTTTAAAATATATATTAAAGATTTAGACTATACTCTATTATCTTATAGACTCTCTATAGTATAGTAGTTACGCTTATTACTATAAATAAAGACTTTGCTATTTTTATTAATCTAATCTTATAAGTATAAGGCTATCTTAAATTAAGCTTATCTAGCGTTAAATAGCCTTAATAAGAATTAAATTAGAGCGCTATGAGTTTTTTTTTACGTTTAAAATAGACTTAAAATATCTTTTTTTACTTTTTATATTAGCTATAAGTAATAGTAGTAATAACTATAATACTAGATAATTATCTATATAGACTTTTTTTAGCCTTACGCGCAATTCTTAGCCTATTTAGCCTACTTCTAGCTAAAGTCTAATAGCTCTAGGCTATATACTATACTTAGCTATACTATAACTTCTTTACTATTACTCTATATAGTTATAATATAGGCTAGTAGTTACTTCTATACATACAGGCTAATATACAACGTATACTATATTGTACCTAAAAGTACTACGTTACGTTGGACACGCTGTTCCGGCTCGCGTAGGTACTGGTCACAAACTCGATCTTAGTGACTAGTCATAGTAAAAGTTGATAAGAGATAAGCGTAATGGAAGCGTTGTAATGAGTGGTTTATATATTGTTGATACGAAAGTCAAACTATCTATGCCTATCCTAGGGCAGGCGAATGCGCGTGGATATGTCACGATTAAGCTGCGGCAATCTTCTTGACGAAATCCGCCTGCAAATTCGACAGCATGGGAAAGTCTTCTCCACTCAAAACATCCAAATGCCCCTTGCCAGGAGCGATATGCAACACCTTCGGCTCCGGGAACGTCGCATGAAGCGCAATCTGCGCCTCGGGGGGCGAGATCTGGTCCAGCTCCGGCACTACCATCAACACAGGTGTACGGTCCAGGTATCTCATGATACCTTGTGGTTGCCATAGCTTTATCTTGTAGTACGATTGGAACGTCGTGTGATTTTCGTGTCGCGGGGCGCCACGCGTTTTGGCGTTGACCATACTACAAACACCGGTCAGTTATACATCGTCACTTATCAGACTCGTTGGACTTACTAGTCAAATTCCTCCTTGTCTGCTCCCAACCCCATCCCAGCGGGGTTCTTGCCCTCAGCCGTCAACACTGGGACATATAAAGGCTTGTTCCCCGTGAGCTGCGACTCCCGGTCTTGTTGGAGTTTGGCAAGCACTTTGGGGAACTTGGATGCTTCGTATTCGAGGTTCAAGAGCGGGCAGATGGCGATGCAGAAGCGAACGCGTGGGTCCAGAGCTGTAGCAGACAGTGCAATGACACCGCTGAACGACATACCCCAGATACCAATCATTGAAGCATCGACGTTTGGAAGACTCTTGACAAAAGTGACTGCGTCGGAGTAGTCGGATACTTGTCTCGCTGGATCGATGTCGTTGCGCGGCAACCCATCGCTCAGGCCGAGCGTTCGCGGGTCATAGATCAGTGCTGTGATACCGTTCTTCTGGAACTGTTCGGCGACATCTGGTACAAACATCTCTTTGACGCAATTGAACTATCATCGTCAGCTTTCGGTCTGATAACTTCTTTGAACCGTCGAGAAGATCATACACCTGGCGTAATAATGACCGCAGGCCCCTTTCCGGACGACACTGCAGCATTGTACAGGTCACCACGCAAAGTGAGACCATCAATGGTCCTGAACTCAACTTCCTGGATGTCGATTGCCATGATGCTGTATGATTATGTAAGGATTCTGGAGGAGTTCAACAACTTTGCCACGGATTCGGAAGATGCTTCTTCTTTCAAGCCGTCTTTGAGAATATCAGATTCCAAAGAGAATTGCGCTCAATGAATGCGTTGCGTATACCACCAGCTACGGACATGAATTTGATACCCACAACTATAATTCATCACCCAGAGAGTATACCCACGAGTCAGACATTGTGGAAGTACTACGGGGAAGTCAGCATCAAACGCTACACGAACGCAGGGTCAGAGCCTTGCGCAAAGCTACTACATGACGCTGGGTCACAGACATATGCAAAGTAATCGAAAACCACAGCCAAGTTCAGCTGAGTACATATCGTTGCGTACCGAACTATGCCAGGGTTCTAAAGATGGCGCCATGTGCTGACCGCATAATCTCCGTCCAGCCATTTGCCGTCACACCAATCGCAACAGATTTGGAAGAAACGTTGCAGATGTATGCCGAATGTCCACTTTGTTCACAAGCCATAATCTCACATCAGCTTCATAGATTAATCGTGGTTCACCCCGACGTCTTTCGGTAACGTCTTGCTGACTGCATGTCAGCAGTTCCGATAGTCCCAGCGACCAAATTCTTGCGTGAATGATACTGCCTATCATGAGAAGAGATGATTGGATGGAGTTTCGGAACCCGAGCCACCAATGCCAGCCGCGAGCAGTTGGTGAGGCTGATCTTTGGTGGCTTTGTCAACCCCACGAACTAACCCCACAGATCTAACCAAATTCAGAAGCGACTGCCGAAGTCAGGGTAGCACAACAACCCTAGGAGAGTAGCAAGAGGCTCGCATTTTTCGCGTTATCTCTCAGGTGTCATATTACCATGTTTCCACCCAACCTCAACAACTGCGAGGCTGACTTTGCAGACGCAAGAGTGCAAACACTGTCTACGGTTGAAGCTGGTGGTGTCATGAACGTCTCATGTCAGGCTCATGATACGCAGCGTCAGATATTACGGTGCGCAAGAACAAGGTCTCGTGAAAGCTGGTAGAGACAGACAGGCCTCAGCGATACAATAATACAAGCGCGAGTAAACCAATCGCAGTGACTACGTTATCGTTCCAGTGTACTTTGCAAGATCCCAGCGAAGCCCTTTCTTTAACAGGAAGTTTGCACTTTTTCGACTGCGTTGTCAAATTCTTCCTAGCATTGCTGCGCATACTACACTTTAGAGAGCCTGTGGACTAGGACGAAACTATTCGGACGGGATAGAGAAGAAATAGAGTGAGCTTGAGACTCACAATACATTACTATAGCTTCGTGCTAACACTTCCAGCTCCCCTTACCATACTAGACCAGATTTCTTCTGTCTTAACCATTGCAAACCTTTGATCACTTCCTGCCTCAACATGGTTATCAACGACTCAGGCCATGAGGACTACGGCCTCAACCAACGAGCTTCGGCAGTTTCTGCTGCCCCGAAGCCCCGTAGATACACACAAGAACCTATCGCTGTTGTTGGCATGGGATGTCGTCTTCCTGGGGACAGCAATTCTCCACATGCGCTGTGGGACTTCCTCGAGCGTGGTGGCATCGCAGACAATACACCACCGCGAAGTCGATTTCGTCTCGATACCCATCATGACGGATCCAAGAAGCCAAAGACCATGAGATCGCCTGGTGGGATGTTCCTCGAGAACATCGATCCAAAGAAATTTGATGCCGCCTTCTTCAGCACGGGCAAGCTTGATGCTATTGCCATGGACCCGCAGCAGCGCCAACTTCTGGAGGTCGTCTACGAGTGTCTCGAGAATGCCGGAATCCCTCTCGAGAAGCTTGATGGCGAAGCAATCGGTTGCTTCGTCGGCTCTTATGGAGTTGACTACGCCGATATGCAGGCCAGAGACCCTGATGATCGAGCTCCCTCTGTCACTATCGGCGTTGGTCGTGCCATTCTCAGCAACCGCATCAGCCACTTCTTGAACATCCATGGACCAAGTATGACGATTGACACAGCCTGCTCGGGAAGTCTTGTCGGTGTCGATGTGGCATGCCGATACCTTTCGAGTGGCGAGATCGATGGTGCTCTTGTTGCGGGTGCCAACCTCTACTTTAACCCAGAACACAACATGGACAGCGGGCCAATGAAGGGAGCGTCCTCGCTCTCAGGTCGCTGTCACACCTTCGACAAGAAAGCCGACGGCTACATCAAAGGCGAAGCTATCAACTGCGTGATGCTGAAGCGTCTTTGCGATGCGGAGCGAGATGGCGATCCGATCCGGGCGATCATACGTGGTACCTCTACCAACAGTGATGGGAAAACTCCGGGTATCGCAAGCCCCAGTTCTGAGGCTCAGGCGAAGGCCACGAGGGCGGCTTATGCCAACGCTGGGATTTCTGACCTGTCAGCTACCGGCTACATTGAGGTATGCTATCTACTTCTCTTTACAGCACAGCATTGAGCTAACGCCATCTAGATGCATGGTACCGGAACACAAGCGGGTGACCCACAAGAAGTCAAGGGTGTTGCATCAGTCTTCTCTTCCTCGAGACCTGAGAACGCACCTCTGGTAATGGGATCAATCAAGAGTAACGTCGGTCATTCAGAGCCTGCAGCCGGTATCTCAGGACTCATGAAAGCCATCATGTCTGTTGAGAAGGGGAAGATTCCAGGCAACCCTACCTTCATCGACCCCAACCCAAACATCGACTTCGAGGGCTCAAGAGTCCGCGCAACGCGATACACCATACCCTGGCCTGCTCAAAGTGGTCCCAGACGTGCGAGCGTCAACTCTTTCGGGTACGGCGGGTCGAATGCTCATGTCATCATTGACCAAGTGCCAGAAGAGAAGAAGAACTTTGTGTCTTCGGTCGGTGACGGCTTTGGAGATCTCCTGGCAGATGACGTTGCGGTTTCCAGACCACACAATTTGCTCTTCTCTGCAAACGACGAAACCTCGATCAAAGCTTACACTGCTTCCTTGCGCAACCATCTTTTGGATCCAAGGACAACTGTAGACCTACCTGACCTTGCTTACACGCTCTCAGAGCGACGTTCTCGACACTTCCATCGAGGGTACATCGTTGCGAAAAACCTATCACTGGATTCCAACGCCATCGCCTACGGAAAGAAGAACTCAGATGCTCCAAGGATCGGGTTCATTTTCACTGGACAAGGCGCCCAATGGTCGCAGATGGGTAAAGCGTTGCTGCATAACTTTGCAGAAGCGCGCGTGGTCATCGAGCGACTGGATAAGGTTCTCCAAAGTCTGGTACATCCGCCTGAATGGTCTCTCCTCAAGGAGCTTACTGAAGTCCGGAGCCCGGAGAAACTGCGCGATCCCGAGTTCTCACAACCACTAGTCACAGCCCTACAGATAGCTATCGTCACTGTCTTCCGCAACTGGGGTATCCATGCTGAAGCCGTAGTGGGTCATTCTTCAGGAGAGATCGCTGCCGCATATGCAGCTGGACTCTTGACGGAAGACAATGCGATCAAGGCCGCCTACTATCGTGGATATGCATCGAAGGCGACCAGGAACTTGCAAACCGCCAAGATGGGCATGATGGCTGTTGGCATCGGAGCGGAAGATGTCCAGCCCTACATCGCGAAGGCTAGACTAGCAAATCCGGGATCGAAAGCCGTTACAATCGCCTGTTACAACAGCCCAAACAGTGTCACTCTATCTGGAACCGTTGACAGTCTGGATGCTGTGCGCGTGGAGCTAGTTGCGGACCAGCACTTCGCTCGCATGCTTCAGGTCGACATGGCTTACCACTCATCTTTCATGGGAGCCGCAGGGGAAGAATACGTCAAATGTCTCGAAGCCGAATCGTTTCGTACAACCGGTACTCACTCCAAGACGAAGATGTTTTCGTCCGTTGATGGTGACCTGATCAACCGTCCAGTGGATATCGCGTACTGGAAGCACAACATGGTGCAACCAGTAATGTTCGAACAAGCTCTCGACCATATGCTCTTTGGTGGAGAATCAGTCAACTTTCTCATTGAGGTTGGGCCGTCTGGCGCATTGGCTGGACCCACCGCACAGGTCAAGAAAGCGCTACCCGGTGGCGGTTCGAAAGTGCAGTACTGCTCCGCCTTGACGCGTGGCAAGGATGCAGAAAACGCCATCTTCGACGTAGCCGGGAGGCTATTTGTTGCTGGCTACGACGTGGACTTTACCAAAGTCAACTGCATTCCTGCGCGGTCCAAAGTTGTAACTGACTTGCCCAATTACTCCTGGAACCACAGCACCGACTACTGGTACGAGAACGAAGCCAGTCAGGAATGGAGAGACCGGAAGTTCCCTCATCACGACCTCTTGGGATCCAAGGTACTCGGAACAGCCTGGCAAGCGCCTGCATGGAAGAAATCTCTCAGGCTCGAAGATCTTCCTTGGTTGAAGGACCATCGCCTTGGCCCCGATGTCGTCTTTCCTGGAGCCGGCTATATGTGCATGGCTATCGAAGCTATGATGCAAACGGATGCAGTCCTGCGATCCCAGACCGGCGCAGTCCTGAAGCACAAACAGCAAGTCCTTCTGCGCAACGTCTCTTTCGACAAGGCCCTCGTCCTGGAAGAAGGGAAGGATACCAAGATCATGCTGACGCTTGCACCTTTCGCCAGTCTGAAAGACTCTTGGTATTTCTGGGTTGTGAGGTCTCTCGTTGCAGGCTCTTGGGTGGACCACTGCAAAGGCCAGGTCCGCATGGAGAAAGACACGGACATTCCCGCGTCTGGAAGCGATATCACTCCACTGCAACATGCTGCCCCAGCAGCTCTTTGGTACAAGTCCATGTCTGACGTGGGCTACAACTTCGGCAAGGCCTTCCAGAAACTTCAGTCCGTCGAAGCAACATCCGGATCAAGACAATGCAGATCTCAAGTCGACTTCAGCTTCCCAGAATCCGATTTTACGCAGTCAGCGTATCCTATCCATCCTGCAGCATTCGATGGCTGCATGCAATCCTGCGCCCCGGGGCTCTGGCGCGGCATCAAGAGTAGCGTCAACGCAGTGCTG